CAAAGGGCTACAACTTTCATGTTTTACGTTTTTCCAAATTCCAAACGTAAAAGGGTGAAAAACTCGGTCGAAACCGCGACCGCGGCAGAAAATCAGAGAGCTTGTCTGGCCGCGGTCCTACCGCGTTTTGGCCGCGGCCGCGCCGCTCCAGGCGTCAAAAAGAAGTCCTATTTCGTCCGGGACAAGGTTATTTCGGCCCTACACTATTCCAACTTGTATAAAAGGGGTCCTAAACCTATTTTGAAGAGAGGGGAACATATTTTGGACATAGATTCGACCTAAGGAGGCAAGAACACATTGGGAGCAAGGCGGAGAATTCTTCTACGAGTTTTTCCTTCCTCTTCCTATTTTTTATTGTTGGTTATGATTTTTAGTATTGTAGTTTTACATACTATTATGAATAGCTAATTCGTTTTCTAGGGTTTTGATGGAACCTTTTGGGGATGAATTGGTTGTTATATTAATATAGTTTTGAGTTAGTTGTTAATCTCTATTTGTTCAACTACGTTTTGATTTTGGTTAATTGAAAGGATCCTCAATTAGCCGTTCCTATTTAATATGTATCTGCTTGAGAGAGAGTGCATATTTAGGTAGTTGTTTGAACAACTTCACTCCCGGAGTATAGGCGAGAGTCATAACCGAGGGTTTAGAGGTTGGATTAGAGATAACGATACCTCGGGTGCGATCTAAGTAAACTGTAATGTGAATCTAGCTAGCGTAGTTTGAGAGAGTGCGTCTAGTAAATTATCATAATTGCTTGAGAGAGATTTATGATAGCTGGAGAGTTCATGATTGATAGAGGCAACTAAGTCAAAGCTATAAGAAACATACAACTAATGAAATCAACAATTGGGGAAATCATAACTCTAGACCTCCTTAATCTAGTCTCCAAACCTTTGTCTCGTTAGTTGATAATTTTACCGTTTTATAGTATTTCTTGGTTAATTAGTTAGAAATATAAATCTCAATTTTTATAATTTAGAAATTGTTCAAACTTGTCTTCTTTGCGATATTGAACAATTACAGTGAAACCTTAGTTCTCTGTGGGATTCGACTCCGGACTTTTAGACCGGATTATATTTGCAGCGACCGCTTATCCTTTTTAGGCCTAGAGTTGGGCGTGATCAATGGGCTACGAGCTGAAATAGAAAGAGAAACCCTTGGCGTTGATACACCTGGACACAGTAGACACTAGAGTGTAATGCTTAGTCTCAGTGGTTGAATCTTGCTAGAGTGCCTTAAATTGTATGTTTGTAATTGACTTGAATACTCAAACGAGAGTGTCTTGATAAGCCAATCTGGAGTGAGTCATGTGCCATGTGTGTGTGAGTTATACTGTATTCTATGTTCAGCATTTGATGCCTAGAACTTGCCCCGTGTGTTTGCAATGCGAAATAGTAGCTTTATTCAGTCTTAGAAGTGATATAGGCATTTTTTTGTTAAGCTAAATATATAAAGTAGACCCACCTAAATGTAATACATCGTGGTGAACCCCGTTAAGCCTATAAGACTGTTTCTTTGGCAACCATATTACGAACCTTACCCAATTGTTTGAATGGCCCATCTGTTTGAACCCTTTTACCTCCCATGAGCACTTAAATGGCCATGAAATATGCAAAAGCTAAAGTGTGGGTTGGTGGTTTGGTTTTGAGTGGAACCGATGAAATAGAGGAAAGGTGCAGTTTTTGGAAAAGTAAAAGAATAAGCACCACTTATAAAAAAAAAGAGAATGAGTAAATGTAGTAGTTGATAAGTGGTGACTTGATACAATTGCACCTAATGGAGTGTGATGTTATAAATAAAAATGCGGTGGAATGTCCGGTTGACATAAGTATGGTTTTGAAGGTTAATGTGATTGTATTAATAGTGCTTAGGGAGGTTAGTCACTATATCCAAATATATCCTACCTGTCCCTTAGCCTACATTACAACCAAGTGAAGTCTTAATTGATCTTAGACTGAATGGGCTCGATTAGTAGAGTAGTACACTACGGGCAAGCCTATGGTTCATCTTTGTGGCATGTGAATGTTCTTGTTGAGAGTGAGCGAATTTTGTCTATCTGAGTTCCTAATTATTCTTAATATTATTACTTGTGAAACTACTCTCTTGTGTGATGTGAGGGCATGTGATTCACGAAGGAAAGGTAAGTCTTGACTTCTGTATAGAGTAATTTGAGTAAGTACGAATATTGCACGGCACGTGAAAGCCGACTTTTGAGGCAAAGATTGTTCACTACTAGGCGTAACTTTGGTGATTTGTTCTTGGTGTGATATGTTAAGGGAAAAGCTTAGTGAAGGAACCTTTATAGAGTGTGGTGGTTTGCTCGAGGACTAGCAATGATTTAAGTGTGGGGTGTTGATAATAGGCTAGATTCATGTAATTTGGCGACTGTTATGCCCCAGCTTGACTATGTTTCACTGTTATAGGATAGTTAAATGATGATAAATTGGCTCTAATTGTGAATTTCATATTTTGCAGGAGTGAGTTGCATGTATGAGGACTTAGAATTGTATTTGGAGCTAAAATTGAAGCAAGGGAAGCCTCTCGAAGCTGAGTACGTTGAAAGAAGAGAGAAAGAAAGGCTGAAATGATGACCCAGACTAGCGCGCCCACTAGCGCGATCGCGCTAGCCCAATAGTTCGAGGCAGAATGTTATGCCATATGCGCGGTCAGTAGCGGGACCGCGCTAGTCCAGTTCGGAAAGATATAAGTCAGGGGTAAACTTGGAAGTTCGGGGGTAATTCCACTTAACCTATAAGAGGTCCAGCTCGCCCGAAGGGAGATTATCAAGGTTTTTACAACTGAGTTGAAGGCAAGGAGAGGCAAGAGGCAAGGAGGATAATTCAACATCGAGTTCTTCCTTTATTCCTTTTGTATTTTACCATTTGTGATTAATTTGGCTATTGTTATGATGAACACTAGTATGAGTAGCTAAATATTTAGTCTAACGTTTTGATGGAACCTATTGAAGGATGAACTTCTTGTTATGTTAATATAGTTTGCCTGGTTTAATCTCTATTTGTTCAACTATGTTCTTGTTGTAGTTAATTGATAGGATCCTCAATTAGCTGTGCTTATTTAGTATGTATTACTCGGGAGAGAGTGCATATTTAGGTAATTGTTGAACAATACCACTCCTAGAGTATATGAGGGATCAATAACCGAGGGTTTAAAGGCGGGATTAGGGATAACGAAGCCTTGGGTGCGATCTAAAGTGAGCTTTATTAAAAGCCAGCTAGCGTAACCCGCGAGAGTGCATCTAGTACATTATCGTGATTACTCGGTAGAGATTTACGGTAAGAAGAGTGCTCATGATCGATACAGACGATTAGGCAAATCTATGTGAAACATAACCGTAAGGGATTCCATCAATAGGGGATATCACAACCTTAGATCCTTCTTTTAATTGTTTACAACTTAATCATAGTTAGTCTTTATTTACTTAATTATAGTCTGTCATAGTTAGTAAAAATATCCTCAATTGTGATTCAAAACGTTTGGGAAATTGATTACGTAGAATTTAGTGAGTCTAACAAGAGTAATTGATAGGTTAATTCCTTGTGGGTTCGACTCTGGTCTAAATACTCAGATTATATTTACAACGTCCGCTTAGTCCTTTTTATAAGACATAGTTGGGCGTGATCAGGAGGTGTGACAATCACCAACAAACACCTTAGGTTGAAATCAAAATCTAACACATGCAAAAGAAGATACAAATACTAGCCTTCTTCGCAACTTAAAGAAGTAAGGCCTTGATATAGTAGAACAGCTCCAGCGAACCAATGAAAATCGAGGATACCCTAGCTCCGAGAGAAATCGAGGAAACCCTAGCTTGAACAACATTTAAATCCCAGCAGCCACACCAGAGAGATTCAGTACAATCTACACTGTAAAATGGACTCAATCCCAAAGGAACAGAGTGTTTTTGCCGGAAAATCACAAAAAATCACGAAGCTCCGATGAAGACAAATCTCGATGAAAAATGGATGAAATCAGATAGGGGTAACACCGTTCAACATAGATAAGCAAGATCTAACTGATTCCTTACTCTGATACCATGTCAAACCAGTAAAAGTAGATAAAAAATGAAGCTCGTTAATGGAGGTTGGGGGGTTTCTAGAGAGTTCTTCATCGGAGAGAATAGAGGAAGAGAAATAATGAAAATAACCGGCCAACCTTAACAGTTGTGGTCTCCTTCTATTTATAACTTGTATATACAATGTAAAGAATGACTAACCACTAAATGAATAACTACTATGCTATATTAACAAAGAAAATTGGCTAACTAGTACAAAAGGCTAAGTATAAAACAAAAATTTGGGCCAACTTAAGTATGCTGCTTTGGGCCTGAAGTAGTGCAATCTCGTAACAATTTTTCATTTACATTCGTATTAAAGACACCATATGCAAATTTTCTAAGAAGATTTATTTTTTATTTTTCTGGATGTGTATGGAGGAAGTGAAAACAGCTTTCTCTTGAGAAATCATTGTGAGCACCTAATTTTTGTCCTATATGAAAATAACTCCTAAAAAATAGACCAAGAATAATTTTAATTGATTTTTAGGAGTTTTTCTTTGATTTGTTGCATTTCATGCATTTTTAATATTTTAAAATCATAGGAAAAATCATAAAAAATTGCCACATTTTAATTTCATGCCATCTTAGATTCAATTCGCATGTAGGAATTAATTTTATTAAGCAAGAAACCACAAAATGGTCATTTTTTCATATTTAGATTTTAGCCTTTAAAATTAGCATTTTTTCTTTAGTTCTAAGTTAATTAGTTGTTTTAATATTAAAAATAGGTAAAGAATTTTATTTTTTACAAAAATAGATTGATTTAGAATTTTTTTTTAAAAAAGAAAGAATATATTTTGATCTTGTCTCTTTTAAAATTGGCCAATTTTTAAAATGGCCCAATTAATTTTTAAGCCCCAAACCCGCCTGAGGCGACGCAAACCGACCCAAAACACACACCCTTCAATTAAAAGCTAGCTCCTAGACCTGAGTAATCAGATCCACCCCCTCCAAATAGGTGAGACCCCAAACTAGCGCCGTTGGGTTCAGCTCTAAGCAGACCCCTCCCCTCCCTGCTCCTTCTTCATTCTTCTTCATTATCACAACCTAAGAACACACAACCAGACCCCTAATTCCCTTCCCCTTTCTCTGAAGAAGCAGCGTCGCTGCTGACTTCTTCTTCTTCGTTCCCCAGATATACAGAGAAACGGCGCACCCTCCCCTCCTCTTCACTCCCTCAGATAACTTCCCCCTCTCATTCCTCTCTGATTTCATTAACACACCCACGCAATTAGCCACGACCTAAAAGAAAAGCTTAGAAATACAACAAAGCCTTCACATGCATTGAAAAGAGAAAATCTAAAGTTAGAGATATTTGGAGATCTGGAAAGCAGAGTTCTAAAAAAAACAGAAATAAAAAGGGGATTTCAGAGCTTGATGGAGTTGTAGAGCTTTGTTCGAAGCTGTGAGTTTAATTTGAACTCAAATCGCTGTTCGATTCTGCTGAATTTTACTATTCCGGGAACTGCTGAGCTTCGGTCGAGTTTGCCTCTGCCTTTAGTCGATTTATTCAAGTTTTTCTTTGTTCATCCAGGTTAGTTTGAACCTTTCTGTATTATGCTTTCAATAAATGAATGAAAACTGTTGGATTCCTATTTAGTTTTTTTCCCCACTTATTTGTTCAAGTATGACTGGTGCTAATTCTGTTGTTTACCGAACGTGTATTTGGCCTCCATTTGACTGAAACAGTTAAGTAACTTAAAAATGAGATGTTTATGTGAATTACTCGTTTCATGCTCTCAATTAGGACACTGTTGTTATTTGTGAGCCTTTGATTGGTTGGATTTGTAATGTCAAAGCCAAGAGATGGGCTCCAGGAATAGTTCATATGCTGTTTTTAAACTATTATATGCAGATTTGACGCTGAATGACTCTCAACGAGTTCAAACATCATTTCTATTCTAGTTCAGTTATGTAATCAGTCATTGGTGGATTGAATTTGAATTTGAGCTTCGTCCGTAGGAACAGCTTCACATTTTAGTCTTGTAAGTATCCTGTGAGGTTCGAAGTGATCCCTTAGTTGTTCTCCAATCCAGCACGTTAACTATCCAACAAATGTTCCATTCTAACATCAACAATACAACTCCATAGTTGCTGCAAATTGGCCCCAAGACCGGCACGTTACTGCTGAAAATCAGCCACGAAAACTCTATTTTTCAGCCACAAAATTCAATTCTGAAAGCTCCCTTAAACCACTCCAAAATCCAGCCATAACAAGCAGTAAACGCAGCCACTAGATGCGAGCAGAATAGTTCAAAATGCTGCCCTTTTCTCACTTGAAAACACTCCAAAACCAGCCCCCCAAAAGCCATGGAAATCAGCCTTACACCCACCTGAAAACTCCATGAAAACTGCTAGGAAACTCCAGCTGAAAACGCAATAAAACAGCCCCCGAAATCCAGCCCGCAAAACACTACATAAAGCTTATCTTGTTCTTGGTTAATACATGATATTTTGTGTTGGATGATCATAGTAGTCTTTATGCTTATATGAATATAATGCTTCAGATATTTCCCTAGAATGTTTAAATAAGTTTGATAAACTCACTTTGTTTGGGACTTAGCTTGCGGATATTTTGTGTGGATAAATTGATCTATTGATTCAAATGTATAGATCTCACTGTAATTGCTAGTTACAGTGAATGATTTGAAACTAAAACCAATAGCTAATTGAATCAAAAAGGTGTTAACTCTATGAACATCTGTAGGTTATGAGTTTAAGCTTTGGTACACTTGATTCCCGAAATAATTTTCATACCTCAACGGCATCACAATAATCTCAAACTTACAAAGAAATAATTCATGAACACCGTAGTTTGCTTTAGTCACGTAATTAAATCATTACAACTATGGGTACGGTTCCCGTGGCGTAGTTGATATACCTAATTTCAAATTAGTTTTAAACATGAACATCTGCTAGTTGATGACAATCCTTTGGAATAAATTGAGGCGTGCCATCCACAATTGAATCCCATAATCTATGGCCCTCACATAATATATCATAACTAGTGTAGAAAACACTTTGAACACTCGTAGTTTGCTTTAGGCGCGTTTATGATAAAATCATCATAGCTACGGGTACGGTTCCCGTGACGTAGTTGTGATACCTAATTTCCAAATTCGGGGTACATTTATGTGACCCGGTCCCAACTTCTAATAACTTTAATAAATTAAACATGTTGTGGATCGTGGGTACAGTTCCCGTGACATGATTCACAATATGTATCAAACAAACAAGTGTACGACAATCGTAACTTGTTCTAGATTAATTCCATAAAATAATTAAAAGCGGTTATAAAGCTAAAAATGCACAATAGGTTTAAAACATGTAGTAAATCAGATAATAGGCCAATTATTAATAGTTTAAGCGACCGTGCTAGAACCACGGAACCCGGGAATGCCTAACACTTCTCCCGGGTTAACAGAATTCCTTACTTAGAATTTCTAGTTCGTAGACTTTAAAATAAAGTCGAAATTTCCTCGATTTGGGATTTTAAAATAAACCGGTGACTTGGGACACCAAATAAACTATTCCAAGTGGCGACTCTGATAAATTAAATAAAATAATCCCATTTCGAATAATGTCACTTTAAATGGAAAAACTCCCATATACCTTCGGGTGTAAAAAGGAGGTGTGACAATCATTATTCAAATTATTAGTTGCTCTGGTCGTGAAGTGCCCTCTGATGATGATTGGCTGTACCTATTCCTGGTTCTATCCCTGAAGTAAAATAGAAACACTGCATTTTGTTCCCTTTACAAATGTTGACAGAGCTTTTAAAATTCCAATCTTTAACTCCCAGACTCCACGAACAGCCATTGAATTCCATATAGTCTAACCTCGCTTTTGATTTTTATCAGTCATAGAGTATTCTAAGTCTTCATGAAAACATACATTTAGAATACTCTATGACGGAACAAAATCAAATGTTTTGTTGGACCTGTATAGTATATGGAATTCTACTACTGTTGCTGTATATGGAATTCTATTACTGTTTCTGGACTAAATCACGAGGTCAGAGTATTAGCGTATTCTAAATCTCGATATATCACTTCGTCCTTGGACTAAAACCACGATATATCACCTGAACTTCGTTTCATCTTCATGCTAATAAGCCAAGTTCCTGACAACAAATTCATGTCTGATATGTAGGAAGAAAGAACTTTCGATGTAGCTAAACCTTCTATGCAGTTGTTTGTCATGCTTTTTTAACAAGGGAAAAAGGCCAAATTTGTACCTATGCTATTGAAAATTAGTAACGTTAATACCCGTTTCTACTTTCCGTGCAAAATCATACCTACCGCAGTGTTTTTGAGAGCGCGAAGCGCAAAAAAGCGACAGGGGCTCGCCTCGCTTCAAAAGCGAAGCGCAATTATGAAAATACATATAATATATATAATAATTAATTTATAAATTGAAATACACATTAAAAAATCAAATAAACTAAAATATAACATATATATATATATATAATAATAATAATAATTAATTTTCTGAAATACATATAAAATTAATCAAACTGAAAATATAACAGATATATAATAATTGATTTATAAACTGAAATACACATTATAAAAAATCAAATAAACTAAAATATAACACACACACACACACATATATATATATATATATATATATATATATAAAATTAATTTTTTAAACTGAAATACATATAAAATTAATCAAATAAACTGAAAATATAACATATATAAAATAATTAATTTTATAAACTGAAATACACATTAAAAAATCAAATAAACTGAAAGATATAACACATATATATAATAAGTAATTTTATAAATTAAAATACATATTAAAATTAAGAAGAATAAAAGGGAGGGAAAAAAGAAAACCAACGCCTGCCCTAGCTGTGCAGACGCTGGAGGAGAAAAAGTGAAAAAGAGAAGAAGAAGAAGGAAGAAAGAAGGAAAAAGAAAGAAAAAAAGAGCAGAATCTGGACGGGAACAAGAAGAAGAAAGAAAGAAGAAAGAAAAAAATGAGAAGAAGAAAGGAGAAGAAGAAACTTACCTGGAAACCCTAGTTTTGTGGATGAAGAAGAGAGAAGGGGTCTCTGTTTTGTCAAGCAATTACAGAAGCGAGGTTAGGGGTTTGTTTTGTATAAATTAAAAACAGACCCAATCTTTTTTTTTTTTTAAAAAGGCCCAGCTGCGATTTTTGACCAAAAGCGATCGATTCGTCGCTTCGCTCGCCTCGTCGATTTTTCCTCTGAAGCGTGCGCTTCAACTGTTCGCGTCGCCTTAAGCACAGAAAAGCGATGCTCTGTCGCGTCGCTTCGCGCTTTAAGCGACGAAGCGCGCGCTTTTCCAAACACTGACCTACCGTTAGTAAAGTATATAAATTTGTCCCTAACCCCAACAGATTTCCTACGTGGCACCGCTACCCCATAATAATTTGCCAACTAGGCATATTTTTACCCATTATTTTAGAAACCGGCCCCACCCTTATAAAAACCGGCCCCACCCTTATAACCTGTTAATTAGTATCTTCTAAGAACTTTTTACAGTTTCTGCAGTATCTGATGACATTGCTAGCTCCAAAAGTTCCAGTAGGTTCTCATCTGAAACCACACCAATGTTTCACCAATCTAGGGAAGGAAAGAAATATCAGAAGAAAAATGCTCGGTTTCATGCCACGAAGGGAAAAAATAAATGGAAGAAATTGAAGAAATTATTATGGAATGTGTAAACATGCACATCAACTCACCAGATCATTTACCAAAGAAGTAGTGATTCGTTTCCCCAATAAACTCAACTGGTCTAACATGGTTTCTGCATCTCGATGTGATCTGTCTGCATTTAAAGCAATCAAATCTAATGCTTCTGACTCCACATCCAAATCCTCATCCGAAGAAATCTTCTTCAATCTGAGCACAATATCACCATCCCTGATTTTATTGAAGAGGTACTTCTGGCACCGAGACAATACAGGACGCGGCACATTGTCAAGATCAATAATCACAAAAATGAAGACAACTCGTGGTGGTGGTTTTTCAAGGAACTTCAGAAATGCTAGCCATGTCTTTGAAGGCAGCAAGTGACATTCATCAACAACAAAAACCTTGAATCCTAAAGAAGATGATGGCTGACGTGCTGTCAGATTCTTTAGAAGATACTAATTAACGGGTTATAAGGGTGGGGCGGGTTTCTAAAATAATGGGTAAATATATGCCTAGTTGGCAAATTATTATGGGATCCCGGTGCCACGTAGGAAATCTGTTAGGGTTATGGACAAATTTATATACTTTACTAACGGTAGGTATGATTTTGGACGGAAAGTAGAAACGGGTATTAACGTGACTAATTTTCAATAGTACAGGTACAATTTTGGCCTTTTTCCCTTTTAACAATGTCAAGCAAAACGCATTTATGCTTGTATTTTAAGAATTCAAAATTTTCTTTTGTTTTGGGTCAGATTCTAAGAATTCAGACTTGTCTTTTATTTTTTTTGGGGTAAATTTAGGCCCCATTTGGCCATGAGTTTGCCAAAATAAATTTGTGATTTATTTTCAAAACTCATGTTTGGCCATAAATTTTGCCCATATTTTGGCAAAATCCCAAATCCCAAAATCAACCCAATTGCTGATTTAGGGCAAAAATCCCAAAACTTGGGAATTATATACATATTTTTCCAAAATAAAGTTGGGGAATATGTTTTGAAAATGTTTGTCCAAACACATTTCCATCTTCAAACCAAACTTCACCCAAATTAGATTTTTCAAAACAAATTTGGAATCTATGGTCAAACGCTAGCTTAATCTTTTAAATGTTGATTGGACCAGAATTATTCACAAACCAGCCCGTATTCGTCCCGTATAAATATAGACAGGTTGTGTTATGCCTCCTTTTTATTTTAACTCATTTATAGCCGTAGACCGTAGTTGTCGTTGTTTGTTTTGAACCCGTCCAAATCTAATCCAACCTGCCATTGCTAGTGTCAGGTTAATTTTGGTGATATTATTCTCTTCTCTTTCTTTCTTTCTTTATGTCTTTATTATTACAAGGGGCTATTTTTTGAACAAGCAGGTAAGGCAGAGAAGGAATTAGTTCAAGAAAGATGCAGAAGCTGGGTGAATTCAAGCTGCCTAACTTCTTCCACTATCCACCTTACTTCACGTAATTTTCTCCTTCCTTTATTTCCTGTCTCCATATATATCCTTGCCTATATTTGAACAAGTTCGGTCAATATATATGATGGAAACCCTATCCTTGGACGGGGTGATGAACCTGCAATTTGGCAGCAGTAGATATCAATCAACGATGCCTCAATCCCAATTTCCCAAATCAGTGGAGGGTTGCCTATACGAGTCACTGAATTTTTTGGTATGGTGCATGATGGATGTATACATTTGCTTATGAGGGGAAAGTAAAATTGCTTGAGAAAAGTTCTAATCAGGGGATGCAGTCATAGTCTCAGTATTTGGATGACAAATCATTTAGATCTACCTGCAGAAATTTAGTTTGGATTGCACTTTGTTGCTGTATCTTGAAACGACCAAGCGTGAATTGTTTTTATGGATTTCTGATAAGCTAATGGTTGTTATCAAGTAATTATTCCGATACCTGTTCCATTCATCTGCTATCCAGTCTTTTCTTGGGTAGAGGAAAACATGTTTTTCCATTTAATCTGTAACTTATATAAGATTTTCATAGTATATAGTAGGAGTGGCGAACGGGCGGGTCGGTCGGATATGGGATGGGTTGGAAACGGGTAATGAAAAAACAGATAAATTATCCGACTTGACCCATATTTAATACGGATAAAAAACGGGTTAACCGGCGGATAATATTGGTAACCATATTATCCATGACCTCGTGAATATGATCACTTTTGGGTGAATTTCTAGTTTCCCAAACTTAAGGAACCCCCAATTTGAGATTTTACAAATGTAAAAGTTAAAACCCGTTAGCTATCCATTGGTTATCCATTTTCTAAATGGATAATATGGTTCTTATCCATATTTGACCATTTTTAAAAAGTTCATTATCCAACCTATTTTTAGTGGATAATATGGTTGGTTTTCATTATCCAACCTATTTTTAGTGGATAATATGGGTGGTTAACTGTTTTCTTTTTACCTTTTGGCCACCCATACTATATACACAGCTTTTCTTATTGTTTCAGTCCAACCTTTTATCATGTTAGGAAAGCTTGTTTTTAGTTTTATGAATACAGTTTTCTGATGGTCTATCCGTTGCATGTTTTCTGATGGTCTATCCTTTGCATGTCTCTGCTCTTTGTTGGTCATTTTGTTGCCAAAACAAAAGTATCTCTTTTTACTTATCAAAAGAAAAAGAAAAGACAGCTAAAGATCATATAGAAGTAATTTCCACTTACTTTAGCCATTGTGCAATCATCAAATCTTTAATTAATCAATTTTTTATATGGTAGTTGAAAACAGCAATTTGGCCTTTGCCCATGAATTAAACTTCAGATAGTTTGAGCAAAAAAATCATTTTTCTCTTCTTGGATTATGTAATATAGTCTTCAATCTTGTGGAAAAAAATTAATGTTGTTATGTAGTAGTTATTTATCAAACAAATTGTGTTTATTGAAATGTGAAAGTTCAAACTTTTAAATGATAAATACTACAGTTATATCTGGTCTAAAAATTCTGCTGGATTTTTTGAATCTTCAATCTTGGATCCCGTTATTAGGATGTAATGAAGCTAACACCGTAGTATTTTTTTCTTGAAAGTGGAGGATTTCGGTTTAACATCTGATGGTGTACATGCAAAGGAAAATGACATTCTTTAGACTATATGTGAAATGTTGACCTGTAACTTTAAGCATGGTGGTAACATATCTTTCAAGGGGATTTAGGATGGTTTCTCACAAAAAAAAATTATTATCTTTATTTGCTGCGCATTAAATTAAACTTTTCTTCGAGACAATATTAGAAGATTCTTGGTGTGGAATTTATGTTTTGCACATAGGATAATTTTTCTTCTTTCCTAGTTTGCAGCCCGTAAGGGAGACTAGGGAGAAGCAGATACAGCTATGGAAGGAGCTCATAATTGATTTCTGTCGAACCCAAAAGGTCTTTGTAATTGGGCTGGAGGAACACTTTCCATTGTTCAGTAATCCTGCTATTGAAAGTGAGTGCTTCTTCTTATTAGTGTCTTATATATCTGATGTTTAGCTAAGGAGCTGCGTTTTATATATTACCCTAACTATTGCTTTGGGTAAAATGAACTCAAGGTACCTAGAAATTCATAATGCTAGTTACCTAGAACATCAGTGGAATGTAAATACCTCCTCCATTCCAATTTATGTGAAGTTTAGGATGTTAATTTGACTTGTACTATAATAGTGATAATGGAAGAAGAATATTAAAGTGAGAGTTTGAAAAGTAAGTCGTGATATTTTATACAGAAAGCATTACATCAAAGTTTAAAAATGCATATGTTAATGAATTTGAATTTTTGATGAATGTTAAAGGTCGTGAAAGTTGTATAGAAATGAAATGGTGTCAATATTCTGGAACATACCAAAATGAGAAGAGTTTCATCCAAATTCGAAGGAAAGGAGTAATGATCACCCTCTAGAGTTGTCTCCTTTTGTTTGGTGGCATGTGCATGCTTGTAGAAGTGGAAAACAGTGGCTCTTACAAGATTTCAAAGCAAATCTTTATTTGATATTAATCAAGGAAGCAGAGACGGAATAGATATTCTCATGCATGCACACACAATTGAACTAAGATGATCTAGTCCCAGCATTGCATATAATTTATCATGTTCAGCCAAACATATGCAAGTTCCTTTTTCATTTTCTCTACTTTTGCTGATTTTCAACAGTTTGTTGATAACAGAGATATACTACAATCAGGGAAGGAAATGGATTAATTACATGTAAATCAATAGGTTACCAGCCTAATTCCAAGGAAGTGGGTGGACTGGATATGGTTTAGGAAAGATAATAAAAGCAGCTGTTAAACAGAAAAAGGAAGTAAATGCCACAAAAGTTGAATTGGCGTAAAGTTTCATATCCATTTAGAAAATTTCTGCTATAGTATCAAAATATCACGGGATTATCTAACAGTCACATGCCATGGAATAATCCACGTTTAGCTTATCTAGCAACATGAAATTGTCTTTAAACCACATGTGCATAGCCTCCAATGAGTTTCGTTTCCTCTGCAAAATGTTTTCAAGGGAATAAGAAATTCTCATAAATGATCAAACTGTAAAAATTTATGTTATGGGGTTTAATGGAGTGAATAGGTAATACTTATTCATCTGGAGATCAAGGTTTCTGAAGAGATTTCTTCAATCATTCTAATTCTATGACGTGAAGTATGCATGTCAGTTCATAGACCATATTAACAAAAAGAAATTGTCAATTGTCAACTGTTTTAATTTGCAAAATCCTGCCTCTTTAGCTAATTGAAAATGTGCTAATCTCTTTATGTGGTTTAGCTTGCCTCTGACTGGGTGAAAATGTTTTTAATCTGGAATGTTGGCAATTTTAGTATTCCACAACTGAATACAGTTGATCTCTGATAGTGCAGGATCTCTGAGTCATGAAGCTAGGGAGGCATTTCTCTCAGCTTTGGTTTCTGATGGTAAGCGATCTTGCCAGTTCTAATGATCATGTTGAACCTATTATTGGTATGAGAGTTCACTATACTGCAGAAGGCCAGATCTCTAATTCTGATCTATTTGCAGGTCGTGCAGAATGGATGGATAAAGACCATAGAAAATGTCTAATCTTATGGCATCGCATCCAGGACTGGGCAGACTTGATTGTAAACTTTGTGAGTATGCAAGTCTTAACTCAACATGCTAGTCGATTATAGAACCCGGTAGGTTAGGAATGTGTCTGTGTTTGAGGAGACTACAGTATGTTTAGTTGAGTGGATATAGGACTTATTCTAGGCTATGATTAGTTGAGTGGATATAGGACTCATTGTAGGGTATCATGCTCAAATATCATATGCTGTTATTATACTAACAAAAAGGTAGAGATTGTCCAAAAGAGCCTTTTTTAACTTTAAACCATGTTTTAAATTGTTTTACAAATGTTTTTGAAATTTTACGGCAGTTACAGATCCCCATAATCAGGGTGAAGATGGCATATGGTAAACATCTGCACTGGAACTGAAATGATGAAGTGGAGAAAGTTTGGGCAAATGGGAAAACCCCTAATTTCCTTTCCCTATTTTCAGTTCTTTAACAGTCTTATACTCCCGGTCAATCCATGTTCCTCATGCTCTCCCTCACTCCACCCTTACCACCCCATCTAACTATTTGGGCAAATGGGAAAACCCCTAATCTCCTTTCCCTATTTTTCATTCTTTAATAGTCTTATACTCCCGGTCAATCCATGTTCCTCATGCTCTCCCTCACTCCACCCTTACCACCCCATCTAACTATCTGAGAATATAACCATTTTGCTTCTCTATGGGTTATTCATTTATATAAAGAGTGGCGCTGCGTGATCCTGTTTATCATCAATCTTCAACAACCCCCGGAAGACATCTTCCTAGCTTCCATTTTTCCTGCTTTCTCGTTCTTCTTAAATTTTATCTGAAGTCTCTTTCGGAGTTTGCTCGTTTGAGTTGAATTTTTCTCAGAGAAAGGAAATAGTAACCAATTAGGTTCTATTTGCGGACTGCTATATACCATATTTGGGGATGGATGCAGTCTGGTTTTGGAGATGTTTGATGAACTATTATTTAACCTTGTTCACACTGTAATTGTGTTTGCAATCTACTGCCATTCCCCAGCCTTATCGGATTCCTTATGGTAGTATTATTTATTTGATTAGGTAAAGGAGTATGGGCTGGACGACAGTGTTATGACAGTTGAAGAAATACGTTCTGGGACGGAGTCCCGGGGAACAGGTAAGATTTGGGTTTTAAAATTTGCAATTTATTAGGTACCACACATTGGTTACTATTTCCTTCTTCTTCCTTTAATCTTTTGCATTTATTGTCTTGGCATTTCACTTGCCTTTTATGCATAAACATGTTTAGATAGACTGAGAATAGTTAATTGTTTCAATTGCTTCCTAATCATGTCATCTGTCTTTGGCATTTTGTATTGCACAGAGCTTCATGGAGTGGACCGTACAGTTCTTGTGCGAGCTTTGAAGCTGCTTGAACATAAGGGGAAGCTTGCGATATTTAAGGGAACTTCAGCTGATGATGAAGGTGTCAAATTTTCTCTGTAAACCACCTTGATGGACTCCTTTTGCGTACAATGAGCGAGAATTGTACTGAGTATTTATGTCGTGAATTACTTGGTGGGAGCCAAATGGGATGAAATGACTTCTTTTCCAACTTCTGAAACTGAATTCTCCGTATTTTTTGAATTTCCATCAGTCATCACGTTACACGGTGTTACACGTAGACGACTGGGAATTGGGACTCCCACGTCATTTGATAACACTCCTTTTTCACTTGTCTTGAGGAAAAATGAGATTTTGAAATTATTAAATATTTGGCATTGGGTGCAGTATCACACTAATTTTGAAAGTAGAATTTGCACGAATCCAAATATTGCAATCTTCTAAGTATGTCATAACGAAACCGCCAACAGTGGATGCGTTTACTATTTTTTAATCCAGGCTTTGCAAGTACCATTTCATGAAAATCCAAGACCTGTATATATTACAGGCTGAAAATACCAAGTAGGATGACATAAATATATTGCAATACATCTCTTCATGAAGATACAGCCTCTCGTACCAGCTACGACATTGTGATTTCACAGTTTAACTAAAGAACAACCTTATTAATCTAATGAATTAAATAAAACCAATGAAAAGAGGTTTAAAAACAACACCGCGTAATATGCCATGAGGAAAGACTTTCAGGTTGTATCTCCATATACTGAACAAAGACATTCTCATGCATAAGATGGAGCAAGGCATTCGTCAACCATGTCAACAAGGTTAGGGTTCTCCAGTGCTGCAGCTACCCGTTCTTTATCATTCAACTGCTTATTTACTGCAGCGAGAAAATAAATGATCAGTTGCTGGATATATAGCAATTGCACGCTACTCCTATAAAAGCTCTCTAGTGCTAACGCTTTATGATTTAAAAAAAAGAAAAGAAAAAGAAACCTGTATGGTTTTCTCTTTTCCGTTTCTTTTCTTCTGGGATGTGTTAACTTTTTGATAGTTACTCAGGGATATATTATAACTTTATGTTAACAAAAAGGCCGAACACCATATACGAAATAAAAGAAAAGCCAAAATCAGCTCTATGGCCGTGCGGTATGTTAAAGAGGGCAAATATAATAAGCACAGTTTGTGAGCATCCTTCCTTTTGTCAAAGCAAATAGGGAGTGACAAATGCAGGCCTGGCAGTTCAAATGGAAGAAGTCCAGCATAGCGACAACTAGATTGGAGCTAAGATTGTTGTGGGTAGTGGTGGTTAGAGGAAAATGGTAGCTAAAGATTGGATGTTCTATGACAGATATTGACAGACAGACAGTACCTGCAGCTTCCGTTGCATGACTCCCAGGTGCTACTCTAATATCCACCTGGCAATATAACAAGGATATGTTAACAAAAAACAAACAGACCGGAAACATGTAAATAGATTAGCAATTTAACACAGCTAGCTATCAACAAAAAACTTCAAGGATGAGATATTTGCATAATATTCAAACAAAATAAATGAATTCCAACAGGTCTTTTCATCATTGTTGTAGTTTAGAATGCAATCTAAAAATCTATATCTATATTATTATGCCCTAAACTAAAAAGTCAAATTACTTTAATACCATTTTTAAACATCTAACTATCCTACTTACAAGTCAAACGCTACGCTTAGCAAACCCCAATCTAACGGATTCATACGAAGGGTTGCCTTCTCAGAACAAATACTATTACTCATTCGTATGAATAGATGTGCCCTTTCGGGGAAAATCCAAATAGTGGGATCTCAGGTAAGGTAGTTTTTTTTCTTTTTTCTTTTCATTGCTTGCTTTTTCTTCCTTCTCTTTCAAAGAACGTTGAAGTATACGTCTAAAACATGTTTCTCAATTTTGCTCCCTTTGGTACTAATTCTTGATGTACTGTTGCCTTTGAAAATTGTGACTTCCGCCCACATATATAAAATAATCACGAAAAAAAGATTTTCTAACATAACATGAAACTTGGACAAGATGAAATGATTTTAATATCAAGAAAAATCTATAACATGTTGTTTGTCCTTGTACCTTTTTTGTTAATAGTTAGGATACAGAAAAGGGGATAACAATGTCAAATGAATAAACATTTGCATTTCCCTTTTTTTGCAACTAAATCCAACTTTTTTTGGTTTGGTCTAATAATATTTTACCTGTTCCTTATTTAATATTATTTTAATGGCAGATAAAGAAGATTGAAAATGAAGACAAAGAATCATAAGTCAATGAAAACAAGACAAAAAGGTATGCCATCTTTTTGCATTGCATATATTGTTGTCCTTCTTTTCTTATGAAAATTAAATTATGTAGGCATTTTCTGCCATTAAGTGTGTCATTCTATAGATTATTGGTTTCATTTTTGTCATTTATTGTTGCAAGTGTTAAGCACTGATTTTTGAGTTCATAACAACGGATTAAATTACGAAAATATCAAAAAATTACATTTAGCTTAGTTAGAATACTATTTATTGCTTTGCATCCAATGTAAAACCTTTTGTACTCTTCTAATAAGCTATTTGCATTAATTGTTCGCACAACTAGTAATACCTCTATTTTAAGTTGTTAAAGAATGAATGTAGACATATTACTTGTACTATACATAGCATAAGTATTGAGATTTGATAGCAGATTTTTAGGACTTTCCTTTTACTTCTTTCCATAGTTAAGATCCTATGTACATGTATATATATGTATCACTTCATGGAATAAGACACCAACTTTGATTCTTCCATATCTTGTTTGTCACATGGTATCAGAGCAGGTGTTAAGTTTGAAATCCGGCCGAGAAATAAACGGTCTCACTGGAACTTGACTGGTTTTAGGAGAGTCCTTTGGTCTGGCGAAGTAACTCTCACCATCAATCCTTTTGATATACATGTTTCCAGAATCTGGTGGTCGGATTCATTGTTAGTGAAGCCCACGCACCGGCAGAGGAATTCTGACATAATCTGCCTCGACGGCGCGTGAGAGATCGGTTGGAGACTTGGTTCACTGTTCCTAAGTCACATCATTATTTTCAGCGTGTTTCTAGTGGTTTCTACTCGAACTGACCACGATTTGAGAAGGCTTTCTTGCTCCTAGAAGTGCTGCTCATTAACAGTCTCATCCAAAAGTCCCAGGTTACTGATTTCCATCTAAACTTTGTTTCTTCCATCTTGATTTGGTCCTTCGCATCTACCAACCTATTTTGAGTCTGAAGATAATCTAGTATTTCTGAGTTCTTTTAGTGGTGGAATATACTTCATTATTCTTGGTTATATTTCCTGGTGGAGTATATTACTGGTTTGTGTGATTTGTTGGTGCATCATTGGTTCTTTGGTTTGGCCATATTTTTGGTGGAGTATATCTTTATTGGCTATCTGCTTGGAACTTAGTTAATCTCTTCTTCAATATATTTCGTTAGTTTTATTAGAATGACTATAAACAGTAAGCAAGGAGGAAATAGTGCTACAACTCCTAGTCCAGCAATCTTGGTCTCGGATGAGTTTCTTGAGTTCCTTCAATATCATAAATCAATGAAGGAATCTTCCTCAGTTACTGGTTTTGCTGGGTCAGATAAGACATGTCTTATCACCTCTTCAAATAAATGAGTGATTGATTCTGGTGCCACAAATCACATGACAGGTAATCCGAATGTTTTTTCTAGCTTTCGATCACACAAAACACCCTCTTCAGTTACTGTAGCTGATGGAACAACTTGTAGCAGTGTTGGATCTGGGACTGTTAAACCAACTTCCTCTATTACCCTGTCATCTGTATTAAGTCTACCAAACTTGGCCTTTAATTTGATTTATGTTAGTAAAATCACTAGAGACCTTAATTGTTGTGTAGCGTTCTTTCCCAATCATTGTTTGTTTCTAGATCTTATGACGAAACAAATTACTGGTAAAGGATATTATCTGGTGATCTCTATATCCTCGATGAATGGGAGCCACAGTCTATTGCATGCTTCAGTATCGTGTCTCCGTTTGAAGCACATTGTCGATTGGGGCATCCCTCTCTGCCTTTGTTGAAGAAGCTCTGTCCTCAGTTTCAGAATATTTCTTTATTGGATTGTGAGTCATGTCAATTTGCAAAACATCATCGCATCTCGTTAGGTCCAAGGGTTAATAAGCGAGCTAAGTCAGCTTTTGAGTTAGTTCATTCTGATGTTTGGGGACCATGTCCTGTTGTTTCTAAAACCGGGCACAAGTATTTTGTCACTTTTGTAGATGATTTTTCCTGGATGACTTGGATTTACTTTATGAAGAGTCGCTCTGAAGTGTGTACTCACTTTTCTGCCTTCTGTGCTGAAGTCAAAACTCAATTCAATACTTCAGTGCGTATTCTAAGGAGTGATAACGCTAAAGTATACATGTCAGAGTTATTTCAGTCCTACATGAGACAACATGGTGTACTACATCAGTCTTCATGTGTTGATACACCCTCTCAAGATGGAGTTGCTTAGAGGAAGAATAGGCATCTACTTGAGACAACTCGGGCACTTTTGTTCCAAATGAAGGTTCCTAAACAGTTCTGGGCTGATGCGGTCTCCACGACTTGCTTCTTGATTAATCGCATGCCACCTACTGTGCTTGGTGGCAATATGCCTTACATTGTTCTTTTTCCAAACAAGTCATTATTTCCCGTGGAACCTAAGGTGTTTGGAAGCACATGTTATGTTCGAGATGTTCGACCATCTGTTACCAAGCTGGATCCCAAGGTGTTGAAGTGTGTTTTTTCTTGGTTATTCTCGCCTTCAGAAGGGGTATTGGTGTTATTCTACTGAACTTGGCAAATATCTGGTGTCAACTGATGTAGTGTTTTCAGAGACTATACCATTCTTTTATGCACCTCCCATCTCTACAAGTCAGGGGAGGAAGATGAGTGGCTAGTATATCCGATTACCCGTACTTTGACAGAACAATCAGATGATGTTTCTCCATCTCCTAGCTCTTCTATCGAGCACCAATCGACTATTCTGCCTTCAACACCTGCTCCAACTGTGTTAGCAAGACCACCAATTGTTCAAGTTTACTCGCGGAGGCGAGAGACAAATGATACAGGTCCTGCATCAGTTCCTTCATCCTCTGATCCTCTTCCGCCTGATCCTCCAGAAGAGACCTTCCCATTGCTTTACGCAAAGGTACACTTGCAAATCCACATATTCTATTGCTAATTTTGTTTCCTACGATCACTTATCCCCTGCGTCTAGATCTTTGATTGCGTCTCTAGACTCCATTTCTATACCCAAAATAGTGAAAGAGGCTTTGAATCATCCTGGATGGTCTGAAGCCATGCTTGAGGAAATACATGCCTTAGAGGAAAACCATACTTGGGATTTAGTGAATTTACCTAGTGGAAAGAAAGCAGTGGGATGCAAATGGGTCTTCGCTGTCAAAATTAATCCAGATGGTTCTGTAGCGAGACTTAAGGCCAGACTTGTGGCCAAAGGGTATGCTCAGACTTATGGAGTAGATTATTCTGACACCTTCTCTCCGGTTGCCAAACTTACTTCTGTCCGCTTGTTCATTTCTCTAGCAGCTTCTGAGAATTGGCCTTTGCATCAATTGGACATTAAGAATGCCTTTCTTCATGGTGATCTTCATGAAGAGGTGTATATGGAGCAACCACCTGATTTTGTTGCTCGGGGGAGTACGGGAAGGTCTGTCATTTGAAGAAGTCCTTGTATGGCTTGAGCCCGGGCTTGGTTTGGAAAATTTAGTGAGGTAGTTCAATAATCGGACTGAAAAAGAGCAAATGTGATCATTCACATTCTACAGGCAATCAACAGCTGGATCTATTCTCCTGGTTGTATGTGTTGATGACATTGTTATTACAAGAAGTGATTATGCAGGAATCTCTTCTCTCAAATCTTTCTTGCATACTAAGTTTCATACGAAAGACTTGGGACAACTGAAATATTACTTGGGAGTGGAAGTAAATAAATGCAAGAAGGGGATTTTTCTATCTCCGAGAAAGTATATTCTTGACTTACTGGCAGAAATTGGTAAGTTGGCTGCCAAGCCTTGCAGTACTCCAGTGGTTCCTAATTTGCATCTTATGAAAGATGATGGCGATCCAGTTAATGATCTAGGTAGATATAGGAGGTTAGTTGGGAGATTAAACTATCTCATTGTGACTCGTCCAGATATTGCTTTTGCTGTAAGTGTTGTTAGCCAGTTTATGTCCGCTCCTACGGTCAAACATTGGGCAGCACTGGAACAGATTCTACGTTACTTAAAAGGAGCCCCTGGACTTGGTATCTTATACAGCAATCATGGGCATTCTCACATTGAGTGTTTTGCAAATACGGATTGGGCTGGATCCAAAATTGATAGAAGGTCTACTGCCGGCTATTGTGTCTTTGTGGGTGGAAACTTGGTATCATGGAGAAGTAAGAAACAGAATGTTGTATCTCGATCCAGTGCAGAATCGGAGTACAGGGCTATGGCACAGACAACGTGTGAGGTTATGTGGATACATCACCTTCTCACGGAAATTGGGATAAAGCATACTACACCAGCAAAACTTTGGCGGTGATAATCAAGCCGCTCTTCATATCGCCTCAAATCCGGTGTATCATGAAAGGACAAAACATATTGAAGTTGACTATCACTTTATTCGTAAGAAGATTCAGGAAAACTTGATTTCTACTAGTTACGTGAAGACATGAGAGCAATTGGCTGATTTATTCACAAAGGCGTTAAAGGGAACTCGAGTTAATTATCTTTGCAACAAGCTGGGCATGATTAATATCTATGCTCCAGCTTAAGAGGGAGTGTTAAAGAATGAATGTAGACAGATTACTTGTACTATACATAGATAGAATAAGTATTGAGATTTGATAACAGATTTTTAGGATTTTCCTTTTACTTCTTTCCATAGTTAGGATCCTATGTACATGTATATATGTATCAATTCATGGAATAAGACACCAACTTTGATTCTTCCATATCTTGTTTGTCACATAAGTTATATAGGTATACTAATTAAATAAAAATAGTTACTGCCAATGCAAGTTGTAACTTGTTTAAGATTATTAATATTCATTTTAATTCATAATAGAAAGTACATAACCTATCTTATATTATTAAACTTATATTATGTCTGCTTTATCGACCTAATCATCTCATATTCAGTTAAAATGACAACAGAAGTAGAGCTAGCAAAATAATGTGTCATTTATTAATGACGTACAAGAAGGGGAGTTTTGGAGTAATAGTAAAGTCATATGACCTATATAGGTCATAGAATCGAGTCATGCAAGCAGCCACTAATGTTTGCACCTAGGGTAGGTTATCTACATCACACTCCTTGAGGTACGGTTCTTCCTCGGACCCTGCATGAACGCGAGCTATTTTGTATAACGGGTTGCCCTTTTTTATAATTAACTACGTACAAATATGCATCGGACTAAAAGATAAAAATATAAATAACTCGAAGAGGTTTAGAGAGCATACAAAAATCCAAGTCAGAAAGGTGTTTTCATTTCAGGATTATAATGATTTGGTATTGACTTTTTGAGTTGATTGTTAGTTAGTGATCATAAGATTTTACTATGTAAAAGTTGATTATGGAAAGAACATTATAATAAACGAAAAGTTATTGATAAATGATTTCTGGCACTTGAACAATAGAACATATAAAAATTAGTTTTTATTGAACTAAAATTATTATTTTTCTCAATTAACTTATTTTTAGTTTGTTAATTATTTATGCAATTTTCTAGCATTTGATTACATGCAAAAATGTCTGTGGCATATGGAATATGGTAATGGTAGAAGCTACAAATGGTGGGAAATGCAACTACGAAAATATTATTTGGTGATTGAGTCGGAATATTAAAGTTCAACAACAATTTACATGTACTGAATATATTGGTACGAAGCAAGGGTTACAGATACATAAAAGAAAACAACTTACATTTATATGTACCGATTTCGTGACTTGGAAGTTTTCAAAAAACCTTACGTCTATATGTAGTCATTTTTTCCTGGAACCAATAGTTATTTTTATTATTTATTAGTAGGAGTGAATTGAGTCGTCTGTTTTGATGGGTTGTTTATGAATGTGAGTTTTATATCTTCTAAAAATTAAGATCTATACATGAGTATATATGTATAAACTTTTATTCTCATCTTCATAAGATCAAATTACATTTAAGCATAGTGACATCGACAAATAAGTCATAACATGATGATCCAAACTGATCATTTATAGAAACTCGAAATTTATCTTTTCATGCATAATTATCAAATCCAAGCATTATTTTAATAATATTAATAAAAGTTTACAAAATGTGTACTGCATGACTAAGCATACACGTGCAACGCACGTATAGAGAAACTAGTTGATGTAATAAGGCACAGAGAGACTGAGTTACACGTCTGATACAGATTATCCATATTATGTACCCCAAAAGTAATTAAAGCACAAGGAAATTTCAAGGTGACAACTTTTGCTGCATAGGAAGATTGACAATGAGAATGCGATTTGCCATTTAACCTGAAGACTGAACGGAAGGGCTAGAATTTTTTCCCCATCCACAACTATTGTGATATTGAACGCTCGACTACCAATCACTTTTGTCAATCAACTAAGCTACAATCTCAAACTAGTCGAGATTTATTTGAATCGCCTATATCCATTTAACATCAGGTCCATTTATTCCAATAATAAATAATTTGTCTTGTAAGGAAAATTGAGAGTTCTCCACAACTAAAGGGTTCTCTAAACCACAGATTTATCACGTTTATCCCTACCTTTATGTACAAGTCTTTAACCAAAACTCGAGTGGCGTGCCTTGCTGGTTGGCAATCCCAGGAGCATGTTTAACACAAGATAATCTTAAATAGGAGAGGTATAATACTATGTAATAGATGCTATTTCATGCATTGGAGAAAGTGAAAGCCTAGACCATCTGTTCTAACATTGTCCAGTGTATACGTTGTGGAATCTTTTTGGTATTAGTTGGGTGATGTCTAGTAGCTCAAAGGAAGCTTTTGTTTGCTGGAAAACCCATCAGAAATACATGGTAGATGATCCACAGTGTATTATTTGGTGCATATGGAGGGAAAAGAAATCAGAGGTGTTTTGATGGAATTGCAACTCCAGACATGTTCTAAAAGCTGGATGTTTAGTCTTATCTTTTTTGCTTGGTGTAATTTTTGTGTTGTAACTAATCCCTTCTGTTTTTGGATTTTGTCAGCTACTTGAATTTTGAGAGAGGAGACAAGTAAATGTACAGGAGCTAACTCTTTTTGTAATAAGTTGCATCCCCTGGATGTTTATTGAATGAAATCTTACTTTACCTGATTAAAAAGATTCTCTAACCAGACTAAAGAACTTAAATCAGAAAACAAACATGTAATTGGCTGACCACTTAGCCTTAAGATGAGTGTCTAGTCTGATGTTGACTCTATTGAAGTAGAAAATACATATCTTATTAGAGAAGATTTTAGCTTATAAATTCTGAAGGAGGGGGCTCAAATTCAGGGTCTTACTGTCTTAATATTTCAAAGTATTTTGGTGAAATGCCTAGTTTAGAAACTGGTATTAATGTAAAGCAGCCAATAATTAAAGCACAGATTTTATACATGGAATGGAGAAGAATAGTCATGATATGCTGATCAAACTCAGAAGAGCTTTTAACAAACGGAAAAGGTCCTGAAATCTACTATTAGAAATTGTTTAAAATTATCATCCGTTATACTATTGGGTCAGAAAAATCCTTACCGTCTTACCATTCAAACACATATTCCCCTTCTTTGACGGACTTTACACGTGGCACGTATCCAAGGCTCTTGGTCCATCAGGTTTTAAATTAGACTTGACCTGTTCCATTACCCGCTATCCGACCATTAAATTTGTCCCCTCCAACCAAGTTTCCTCTCTTCCACTCAATACAATACTCTCTCATTTCTTCCACACAAAAATATTATCTCTGCAGCCACTCTCTAACCCTAAGCCCTCCTCTCGTACGCGACAAGCAAATATCTCGTATGCGTTGGTCCAATTTCGAGCTCCTATGTATTTCCAAAAACAGCAAATACTGCACTCTTAGTGGGAATAATCTTATTCCTCAAGGTTGTCGTCATTGAAGATCTTCATTTTTATCATGGAATAACTGGACTTTGGTCATGGAATAACCAGATCCATCATGTCAATCATCTGGTTTTCTATTGCAAGACAATCAATGTTGGTTGCAATCTGTTATGGCCTGTCCTTTGCTTTCTTCTTGTTTTCAAAGCCAGAAATGAAGTTTTAATCTCAGTATCCTCTTCCCATTTGTTGATCCATGTATTAACAACTCCCACAGTGCATTCATCCTTCATATAAGTATATAATAGGATTAAAAATGCTTGAACCATCTTTATATAAACGATCCATGTCACATTTCTGATTACAAATGGAGTTACTACTGCATAATGGGGCGGCTTTAAGTTGGTTGGGGAGGGTCAAATTTAACGGGTCAGGTATCGGGTAATGGGGCGGGTCAAGTCTAATTTAAAACTAGATGGACCCAGAGCTTTGGATGTGTGCCACTTGTCTAGTCCATCAAAGAAGGGGTATATGTGTTTGAATAGTTAGACGGCAGGGGTTTTTCTGATCCAACAGTATAACGAAGGGTAATTTTAATCAATTTCTAATAGTAGCGGGATATTTCAGGACCTTTACCGTTTAACAAATGACGCAGGAAATCATGGCAACTTCCGTATCAAACTTAGAACTTCAGAGTTAAATACTAGTTAACTAGTTCTTGATTGACTAAAGGATTACAGGTTAGGCTGTCATATTAACCGAAAGTTATAGGAAGCAGAATGCCAATTTTTATATCAGGAGAACTACTGAAAAAACAAATTAAAGAAACTAGATTAATCAGAGGGAAAAAAAGTCGGTTCTTTCTACTGATAGAAGATAAGGAGAAATCCGACAATTCCCATTAGAATGGCTAAAGCATTTTTTAGTATACGAAAGTTAAAAAGACTAGA